TTTTCTCTACAGTTTACATAATGAGGAATCCCAGTATTTAGGGATTTCACACAGCCACTGGCACTCACGGTTGCCATGGCAGCTTCCACCTGCAGCTGCAGGCCCCTTCCTTGCTCCTGATTGGAGGTGTCACGTGTTTGAAAGCACCAATGAGGTGGTCCAGGGTCACCTGTTGCTCCCAGATTAGAAGGGAGACCTGAGTGTTGGAAACAATCTGGTTCTTCATGTTAAGTAGACTCAGGATTTTCTTCAGACACACAAATCTAAGCAGTGTTAGGTGAGACTTAATGAAGGTTTTATTTGTTTTTCAATTTTTTGGTTTGTTTGTTTTTTGAGACAGGGTTTCCCTGTAGCTTTGGAGCCTGTCCTGGAAATAGCTCTGTGGACCAGGCTGGCCTCGAACTCACAGAGATCCGCCTGCCTCCCTACTGCTGGACTAAAGGCCAGTTTTTTGTTTTGTTTTTGAGAGACAGAGTCACATTTTGTCTCCTAGGCTGGTCGAACACTCATAGCAATTCTCCTGCCTCGGGTTCCTAAGAGTTGGTGTTATTCTTTTTTAAAAAATGCTGCAAGATCCCCACGGCAGTAGGCAGCAGAAATGCTGTAGGTCCCAAATGCTGGTGGCAGGCCATGTGGTGGCAGGCAGCGGGCCCTGGGAGCAGCCAGTCCCAGGCAGAGACGGCTGCTGGTCCCTGAGCAATGGCTGGTCCCAGGCAGGGAGACACATGGCAGGCGGGCAGAAGACAGAAACATGGATAGACACGACATGCAGGGTGAGGTTGAATGTTTATTTAGGGGGTTATGGAGGAGGAAGGGTAAAGGGGGGGACAGAGAAAGAGGGAGAGAGGGAGAGAGAAGAGGAGAAAGAGAGACAGAGAAGGGGGGAAGCAGAGAAGTGGGGGGAGAGAGGCAGAAGCGAAGCTGCCTCACCGAGAGGAAGATGGAAAAGAGAATGAGCTCAGGCCGGAAGCTGAAGATCAGCCTGCCTCAGCGTATGGGGAGGGGAATGGGTGTGGCTTGTCTCTTAAAGGGACCAAAACCATAACAATTGGCATTCGAGGCCTCGTTTTCAGGTCCAGTTTAACAGCGCCGCTTTGTCTTTTCTTCCATCACTCACATTCTCGGTTGCTCATTATTTATTATTGCTGTGTGCCTCCGTGTGAGTGTGGCGGGCGGAAGACAGCTCGTGGGCGGTTTCTCTCTATCACGTGTGTCTCAAACTCAGGGCCTCAGTCTCCCCCTTACTCACTGAACCATCTTGCCAGCCTAGGGTTTTTTTTTAATTGTTTTTGTTTGTTTGTTTGTGTTTTTGAGACAGGGTCTTACGCAGCCCAGACCAGCCTGGAACTCAGCTCGTGGTTGGGTATGACCTTGAACTTCTGATCTTCCCACTCCCACCTCACTGCTGCTGGAACACCAGGCAAGCATCAGAGCACCTGGGTTAGTAATTTTGTTTCTTGATCTCCCTGCTAACCCCTCCAACGAAAATTCCAGAGTTTCAGTGGGCGGCAGAGTGGGCAAGAGTCCATTTGTTGAAGTTCTTTCTGCCTAGAAACAAATCGTCCTGGGAGGTTAGGAATTGATGTATTCTGTAGTTAGTTTATTTTTAATAAATCACCATTGTGGGCTCGGGGCGTGGGAGATTCTCACAGATTGCTACTGAGCAGATGCCCACGGGCAGATGGAATATGCACGTTAGGTAGGTCATTTAGCAAGACAGTCCCTCGGGGAAGCTCACCCTGTTCTGTCCTGTTGTTACCCCGAGACAAGCATTCTGGGTAGACACAAAAGTCTCCAAGTCACCCTAAGCTTGACCTACAGCCACAAAGTCAGATGTGATTGTTCCTTGCTCAGCCCAGCCCTTGGGAACAGTGCTCAGAGTTTACAGCCAGGACCGTGGTACTAGGTGAGACCTTCAAAGAGATAGAGGCTGCAGGTGTGGTTGTGTGGAGGGGTGGGGCTGCAGGTGTGGCTGGGGTGGAGGGGTGGGGCTGCAGGCGTGGCTGTGAGGAGGGGTGGGGCTGCAGGTGTGGCTGGGGTGGAGGGGTGGGGCTGCAGGCGTGGCTGTGTGGAGGGGTGGGGCTGCAGGTGTGGCTGGGGTGGAGGGGTGGGGCTGCAGGCGTGGCTGTGTGGAGGGGTGGGGCTGCAGGTGTGGCTGGGGTGGAGGGGTGGGGCTGCAGGCGTGGCTGTGTGGAGGGGTGGGGCTACAGGCATGGCTGGGGTGAGGAGTGATTTCTGCTAGTCCTGGGGACCTGGGCTCCCTAGCCAGGATCCACCTAGTGGCTCACAGCTCCTGTAAATCCAGCTCCAGGGCAGCGGCGCCCCTTCCTGGCCTTTGCAGGTACCGCACGCTTATAGCGTACATTCTCACACATAAACATAAGAATGAAAAGAAATGGTGGTGCACATTTTTAATCCCAGCATGCGGAACACAGAGCCAGGAGGATCTCTGCGAGTTCAAGCCAGCCTGGTCTACAAAGGAAGTTCCAGGACGAGAGAGAGAGACAGAGACAGAGAGAGACAGAGAGACAGAAAGAGAGAGAGACAGATGGAGGGAGAGAGAGACAGAGACAGAGATGGAGGGAGAGAGATTGGGAGAGGAGAGAGAGAGGGAGGATGGACGGAGGGAGGGACAATAGTTTTAACTGAGGGTATGATGTCAATTCCACTCTGTTTACCACCTAGTCCACTTCAGGAGGGTGTGAAGGGTAAGGTCATGTGATCTAGGCCTGGCCAATGAGCTGTACACCGGGGCCTTGGTGGTGGGCACACAAAAACAGAAGGCGTGGGGGCTAGAGAGATGGCTCAGAGGTTAAGAGCACTGGCTGCTCTTCCAGAGGTCCTGAGTTCAATTCCCAGCAACCACATGGTGGCTCACAACCACCTGTACTGAGATCTGGCGCCCTGCTCTTACGTGCGGGCATACATCGAGGCAGAATGTTGTATACATAATAAATAAATAAATTAAAAAAAAACAGAAGGTGTGGTTTTTATTCTCCTAGTCACTGAGCTGTTGGGCTTCCTCTCTCCCTTCTGAGATAGAATCTCGTGTAGCCCAGACTGACCTAGCTCCTGAAGCTGACCTTGGACTTCTAATCCTCCTGCCCCCACCTCCAGGGCACCGAGATGGCAGAGATGGCAGAGGTGTGGCCCCAGCTGGCAAAGGAACCCAGGGCCTCCACAGGGTGAGGTGAGAGATCTTGTTTTTTTGGTTTTAGCCTTTTCTAGACAAGGTTTCTCTGTGTAGCCCTGGCTGTCCTGGAACTCCCTCTGTAGACCAGGTTGGCCTTGAACTCACAGAGATCCCCCTGCCTCAGCCTCCTGAGAGTGCTGGGATGAAAAGCATGTGCCACCACTACCTGTGTTTATCCTTATTTTATGGGCGTAAGTGTATCGCCTGCATGTATGTCCTTGCAGTGTCAGCCAATCAGGAGTCCTAAACCTTAGAAATCCCTCACCCTAACTGAGCTTGGGGCCCTCAGATCATATCCATGTGTTGGAAACAGAGAGTTCGAACTTGAGTAAAGGCTCTTTGCTTTTACATATGGGACTTGGTCCCCTTGTTGGTTTTTGGAGGCTCTGTAGATCTGGGCATAACAGTAAGTGCTGGCTTGAAAGATGGGGCGGCAGTGTGGTGGTTCGAAAGAAAGCAGGTACCAGACTGAGAGGCACACTATTTGGAGGAAGTGTGTCACTGTGGAGGCGAGCTTTGAAGTCTCATGTATGTTCAAGACAATCCAGTGAGACAGCCTACTTCCGTGGCTTTCTGACCAAGATGTCTGCCTGCACGCTGCCATGCCCCACCATGATGATAATGGACCGAACCCCTGAAACTGTAAGCGAGGCATCCCAGTTAAAGGTTTTCCTTTATAAGTGTTGCCATGGCCACTGTGTTTCTCCACAGCAATAGGAACCTTAACTAAGACAGGCAGGGACACACACACACACACACATGGGAAGAGGGAGAGAGACAGGCTTACAGAGAGAGAATCCTTGCCTTTGTTTCCAGTTCTTCCCAACAGCGGATGATCCCAGCTCATCCGCACACCGAGGACCATGTGGTCCTGAGCAGGACTGAGGCTCTGATCACTGCATGGAGGGACCTCCCGGACACTGTGCTTAGTGAGAGGACCAGAGGCAGTAGCCCGCACAGTGTGGGACCCCATGACGGGAAATGATGAGTTGGTGGGGACCATGGGTGCTGGGGTAGAGGAGGAGGAAGCTGGCAGCCGTGTCTACAGAGCTGTGCTGAAGAATCATCAACCAAAGGGCAGACTGTAGCTCAACACCTCCCTGGGCTCCACTTTGCTTCTGCTTCTACTGCTCCTCTTCCACACCTCCTTTCTCTCCCATCCCCAGGGCCTCCGACAACCCCCCCCCCTGCTCCATGCAGATCTCTTTCCCCCTCCATTCTATGCCAAGGAAGGCATGTGGTCACATGACCTTCATATCCAGAGCATCCACTGCCTTTGCTTGATGAGGCCGCCTGCCTCTGCTCCCCAAGTGCTGGGATTAAAGGCGTGCGCCACCACTGCCCGGCTGGCGCACGCCTTTAATCCCAGCACTCGGGAGGCAGAGGCAGGCGGATCTCTGTGAGTTTGAGGCCAGCCTTGTCTACAAGAGCTAGTTCCAGGACAGGCTCCAAAACCACAGAGAAACCCTGTCTCAAAAAACCAAAATAAATAAATCAATAAATGAAAAGGCATGCGCGGCCACTGCGTGGCCGGCCCAGCAGCTCTTTTAACTCTGTCTAACCTATGTCTCTTCATCTACATTTGCCTCAATGCTTTTCACCTTTCATTTTGAGCCCCACTTTCCTGCTTACCCGTGTCTGTCTGTCTGACTGGCCCCTGGTGTCTCTTTTTTCTTCCCGAGCCTAAGTTCCTCCTCCTCCTACTTACTCTGCCTACGTGGAAGTCCTGCCTATACCTCCTCCCTTGCTATTGGCTGTTCAGCTTTTTATTAGGCCAATCAGGGGCCTTAGACAGGCAAGGTGAAACAGCAGCATCTTTACATAATTAGACAAACGCAACATATCTTTGCATAGTTAAAGACAAAACATCTCTGCATCGTTAAACAAATATTCCACAAATTCCAGGCCAGCCTGGGCTACAGGTCACTCTGATTTACAAACAACACCAGCAAAAAGCTGGAGAGACAGCTCAGTGGTTGAGGGCACTTGTCGCTCTGGCAGAGACAGCTCAGTGGTTGAGGGCACTTGTTGCTCTGGCAGAGACAGCTCAGTGGTTGAGGGCACTTGTCGCTCTGGCAGAGACAGCTCAGTGGTTGAGGGCACTTGCTCTGGCAGAGGAGCCAGATTTGAGTCTCAGCACCCACATGGTGACTCACAACCATCTGTAATTCCAGTTCCAGAGGTGTGGTGTGGGGTCCTGACACCCTCTCCTGGTCTCTACAGATGCTAGATGCTCGTGTGATGCCCAAAGGTGCATGCAAGAACATTCATTCACAGAACACAAATGAATCTAAAATAAACAAGCAAAAAGAGATAGACTCCAACTTACAGGAACATGGTTTTTTTGGGTTTTTTGTTTTGTTTTGTTTTTTTCGAGACAGGGTTTCTCTGTGGATTTGGAGCCTGTCCTGGAACTAGCTCTTGTAGACAAGGCTGGTCTCGAACTCACAGAGATCTGCCTGCCTCTGCCTCCCAAGTGCTGGGATTAAAGGTGTGTGCCGCCACTGCCCAGCTCATACCATAAATCAAAGACCCCAATGTGTCCACCCTCCATGGACGCCAACTGTAGAGCAGAAGCAGACAGAAGCAGTAGAGCCCAGGTCTCCAGCACCGACATGCAGAGGTTCAGTCAGACCTTCTGACTCATCTGACACTGTGGAGCAGGCATAGCGCATGGCGCAGGTGCTGGTGGATGGCGGGAGTGCAGCCATAACTCCGTAGGACGTCCAGTGAGTAGGAGCTGCCCATACCCGGCCTTCCCAGCTCCCAGAGGGTGAGCAGAAAGCCTTCACCTTCCCCGCTCAGCACCAGCTGCGTTTGGGACGTCCTGAGGCTGACCTGGGAAAGAGTGACATTAAGATCACGGTGACCAGAGTCGACCATGCTGGCCCCGGTTCTGACCCTGCGGATGAGCACAAACACTGGTTATAGGATCCGCACCTGTGAGAGTCAAGATTGGAAGCTAAGGGTTCCATGAAATCAATAGAAATTGTCTCATCTGGGGATTCCCCCACCCCACCCCTCAACCCGGTACCACAACCTTCCCTTCATTCTCTCCCCTTTTGTTTTAATTTACTATTCGTGTATATTTGTGCATGTGTTGGTCACAGCACATACGGAGCCGTCAGAGGACAACGTGCTGGAGTCTGCTGTCTGCCATGTGGGTCCTGGGGGCTGAACTCGGGCCTTCAGGCTTTGGAGGCAAGCACTGTTAGCAATGAGCCCCTCGCCTATCCATCCCTGAGTCTCTTTCACTCTTCTTGTTTTCCTTTGACGGGGTAAAAGGCTGGCTTCAAAGTTTCTATGTAGCCAAGGATGATCGTGAACTCTCGAGTCTCTTCACAACATCTCCTGTCTTCTGTCATTCATGCCTCCCTATTCCCAGAGCAGCTGCAGGTTCGAAGGTTCGGGCAGACTCTCAGCAGTGACTCTTCAGGCCACTTGGCTCCATCCCATATCCTCTCTGGTTCTGTGACCCCTCGACTTCACTGTGCCCAGAGACCCAGGATTCCCTAGGGCATGGAGGCTGCCGTCTGGCTCTGACTGGGCTGAAGACACAGGATGTGACCTCTGATTCCATATTCTTTCAGAGGTCACACAGTCCTGAATGCTGTCAAAGCCTGGTATCCCGGCCGCTTACCTGTACGGTCCCGTTGCTAAACAACATGACCAGTGCCCGGGAATCGGCAATGAAATTCAGCAGAGAGAAGTCAAGTGAAGCGGGTGCCACAGCCATGGACGCAGTCCCCTCCTGTGGGGACATGCTGGTCAGGGTCCTCCGGATGGACAACTCCCTCTCCTGTTTCTCCCCACACTCCAGGCCCTCACCTCTCTCAGCCGCCTCTGCATATAGCAGTCAAAAAGCCGCAGGACAGCCAGCTTGGCACGCAGCGGGCTGGGGACATCCCTCAGGGCGAAGGTCCACAGACTCCCTTGGTCAGGTTGGTAGGAGACATGGCTGGGGGCCAGGGACCTGATGAGTCTCTGTCCCGATGACCCATGCTTTGGGGGGTCCTCCCTCATAGCTGTACCTCATTGCTACCCAAGCCATCACTGTGTTGCATATAACTCTGGCCGGTGGTCAGTCAGGGCACTGGCCACCCCAGGAGCACCTCTCATAGGCCAACTACATCAGGTTCAGGCTCCTCATCTGTCTCTATAGAAACGGCCACTACCCTCCTGGCCAGCCCAGCGGCCTCTCTGACTGGCCGCCTCTCTCACTCCAAGAACACTATGGTAAAATACCAGTACTTGGGAGGCGGGCTCAGTAGCAGAGGACACCCCCAAAGTTCTCGGTTCCATTCCCAATGAAAAGAAATAGAAATGAGCCGGGGGGGCCAAGGAGATGGTCAGCATGAGAACCTGAGTCGGGGTCCCAGCACCCAGGTAAGAGCCAGGTGGGGTGGCAGAGGCAGGAGGATCCCTGGGACTCACTGGCCAGCCAGCCTAGTGGAAATGACGTCAGCTCCTTTGTGTTCAGAGACATTGTGTTTCCCTGCCTTAAGTAGCCCAGGCTGGCCTTGAACTTGCTCTGTAGCTGAGGGTGACATTGAACTCCTGATCCTCCTGCTCCTAGCTGAGGTGCTGGGATGACAGGCGTGGGCCTTTCACACCCTGGTGGGGAGGGAACCCTGGGCCTTGTGCCTGGCAGGTGAGCGCTCTTGTCTACTGAGCCACCATCTGACTTCTCCAGGAACATGGCTTCCCCAGTGACCCCCTCTCCCACCTCAACTGGTTTTTGTCATGTAAAGAACAGAAAACCAACTCCATCGTTTGTGTTACCAAGCTCTCCTCCTGGCGGACACCCCATAAACAGGTGATGAGAGGTGGGGTAGAACTGGGTCCCTGGGGATAGGAGTCCCAGCAATTACCCTCCTTGGGGGCGCAGCGCCATGTGGGAGCCATCCCGAAACAGCACGCCACTGCCCCCATCAGACAGTTGGTAGCCAAAGCCGTACTTGAGGGAATAATCCACCCACTTGGGAGCCCAGAGGACAGGCCGCTGCTCCCCTGGGGGTTCCTGGGCAGCTAAGCAGAAGGGGAGAAAAAAGAGCCAGGGTCAGGTACTGGGCTGGGAGGGGTAGGATGAGGAGGGGCTGGGCTGGGGAGGGGTAAGATGAGGTGGGGCTGGGCTGGGGAGGAAGGGCCTGGGTGGGGTTTTGCTGGGCTGTGTAGGAGTGGGGTTTGTGGCTGTGGCTGTGGAGGGAGCTGAGCTAGGGTGAGGATGCTGTGGGCCTGGGCTAGGCCCTTCAAGGCCCCCTCAGCCTCCACTTTCTTCTGGCTGTCCTACCCACAGGTCCTGCATCCAGGCATAGGTGCATTTTCCTGGTTGCCGCCTCCACCTGAAGAGCCCAGCACCCCTTTGGGTCTGTTAAGACAGAGTCACATCGGTGCCCAGACAGCAGTGAACATCCACCAAAGAGGGGGTCCTCTCCCTCTCCCATCAGCCGGGTCCCACACCTGCCCCCTCCCATCAGCCGGGTCCCACACCTGCCCCCTCCCATCAGCCGGGTCCCCTCCCCCTCCCATCAGCCGGGTCCCACACCTGCCCTCCCATCAGCCGGGTCCCCTCCCTCTCCCATCAGCCGGGTCCCCTCCCTCTCCCATCAGCCGGGTCCCACACCTGCCCTCCCAAAAGGTCTCATATCAAACCCTGACTATCACAGGCGTTTGTTAGGTTTTACAGGTGGACACACTGAGGCCAGCCGCGGCTGTGGCCCTCATCAGGACACATGAAGTCCCTATTCCGAGTCCTCGGCATCTGCCCCGGGCGAGGCTCTCTGCTGCTCACCTGCTAGGTTGGTCTGCAGGGTCCCGAGTGTGAGGAGGACCGGACTCTCAGCACAGAGAGGAAACCTGTCCTGAGACAGAGGTGTTTGGAGAGAGCAGAGGTTAATGTACCTCCCGTTCTTGAGGGAGCCCCCAGAGCCCAGCACCCCACTTTACACAGAGAACAGGTTTCCTCTTCAGACAAAACTTGCCTGCTGCACAAACTCATGTAACAAGCACTCAACAAATGCAATGAAAACTGAAGTGAGCAGGGTTCCGTGGTCTCCAAAGGCTAGGGTGAGGGACAGCTGGAACTGGAGCTGTAGCAGCCCCAGTGAGGGGGCTGTGGGCGTGGTCAGGGTGGAGCCCCGCCTAGAATCCCCAGTGAGGGGCTGGGGGCGTGATCAGGGTGGATTTCAGCCTAGAATCCCCAGTGAGGGGCTGTGGGCGTGGTCAGGGTGGAGCCCCGTCTAGAACCCCCCAGTGAGGGGCGGAGGTGTGACTCAGAGCTGGCAGGGTTCAAGGTCTGGGGTCTCTAGAGTGGAAGGACGCAAGTTGCTTCAGTCAGGGGCTTCAGGAAATTCTAGGCGTTCTTCCCCATAACCCTCACTGAACTGCTCACCCCATTGCTGGACTCCAGGTGGTCAGGTTCCGTCCCTTCTTCTGCAGGACCTGAAGGCTCTTTTGAGGTAAAGGGACCTGAGGGAAGCACAGGTTTAGAGAACAATGATGACAATCGCTCCTGCCATCCTCTCCCACCTTGGTCACGCAGGTGGAAGGGAGACAGATACCAGGCCTGAGGCAGGTGAGCGGCTGTGACAGGCTAGGGGACAGCTACTCACAAGGTGACCGGCACTGGGTCAGCAGGAGCTGGCCCACTTTGCGGAACAATCTGCCCAGCTGTGGTGGGAAGGCAAAACCGGGCGGGCTGTGGCAGGAATGTGGAGGCAGCCGCTCTGGAGTGAAGCCCTTGGGAGTCAGTGAGCTGGGGTCAGCCCTGGATCTAGACGGTCCCTGGTCCCCAGGGGCTCACCCGGGGGACACCCCCTCACCTGAGTAAAGAAATCGTCCTGGAGTACGTGGTCCAGGCTGGGCCGCTCAGCAGGGTCGGGTGCCAGGAGCCGCGCGATGAGGCTGCGGGCGCTGGGAGACAAGTGAGCGGGCTGGGGGTAGTGGCCTTCCCGGATACGTCGGTACATCTCCGACAGGGGCGCCGCAGCGAAGGGGGGCGTGCCCGTCAGCACCGTGTACCTGTGCCAGGGCAGGCGGGCAGAAGTGAGTTCACACCTTTGTCTACACACCTGGCCACGCCCAGCCCCACTCCAGACTCCACTGCCCCAGCATCATCCCTACCCAAGACACACTCCACCTGGCTGACCCCCACCTGCGTCACCTCCCCAGGCCTGGCAACAACAAGTGTGCACTGCCATGCCTGGCTTGTGTGGTCTGGGGATGGCATCTGGATTTCATGCGTGCTCAGTTTTACCAACCGAACCCTAGCTGCAGCCACACTTGAATTTAATTGGCACCCAGGATGGGACAAGAAATCCAAGCCTGGACATTAAGGGCCAGGCGCTCACTGGGTGAAGAGGCATGCATCTTTACTCTCAGCACAGGGAAAGCAGAGGCAGCGGGATCTCTGTGAGCTCAGAGCCAGTCTGGTCTACAGAGGGAGTGCCTGCTCTAGCTAACACGTGATCATCTGTTGTGTGCATACACACCCACCCCAAGCTCGCTCTCCTTGCCCACACCCGGTCTCCCCGGGGGGCCCCCACCACTTCCCCCAGACCCGGTCAGCCTCCCTCTTACATGACGCAGCCCAGAGCCCAAATATCAGACTTGCAGGAGTGTCCATTGCGGGACACCACCTCAGGAGCCTGGAAGTTTGGGGTTCCGCAGAGCACCCTGGAAGGGAACCATGAGAGAGGTTCAGGAAGGCCGGCCAGGACTTCCTGGCCCCACTCAGGACAACCAAGACCTTCCACCTTTACCTGTGGGAGTGACCGGTGGGCCCCACCCGGGCAGCCAGCCCTAGGTCTCCGATCTTCACCTCCATGTTCTTGTTAAGGAAGAAGTTACCTGCGGGTGGGGGGAGTGCGGCATGGGAGCATTGTAGCCCCCAGCCCTTCGCCACCCTCGCAGCATCCCAAAAGTCCCTTCCTCATGCTTACTGGGCTTCAGGTCCCTGTGCACAATGCGATGATGGTGCAGGTAGCGCAGGCCGCTGACCAGTCCCAGAAGGTAATAGCGCACCTCAGGCTCCGTCAGCGTCCTCCGTGCCTTCAGCACGTGAGCCAGGGACTGCGGGCGGGCGGACCGGGCACTCAATAGATGGGCTGTGGACACTGTGCGCACACCCGGGCCCAGGGAAACCCCGCTAGGCCAGGGTAAGCACGGCTGAGCTGTGTGGGCCTAGGTGGGGACAGGGGACGCTAGTGACTGGACAGAGGGCAGGAAGACATGGCGTGGGCACAGGGAACACCGGTAGTTACGGGGACCTAGAGACACAGAAGGACAGACAACAGGCCTGTCTGGCTCTCAGTGGCCTGACCCAGGCCTCACCCCAGTCACCCCCTCAAGCAACAGGGGGCTCAACACAGCTCAACACCGCCTGGTTTAACGAACCCAGAGCAGACACACGAAGCCCTCCCCCCCCCCCCCGCCCCACCCACCAGGCCCACGGCTACCTGGCAGCTGCAGTACTCCAACACCATGTAGACGTGGTCGCGGTCTGCGAAGTGTGCGTGGAAGGCCACGATGTTGCGATGGCGTAGACGGCTGTGCAGGGCGATCTCACGCTCCACCTGTGTCCCCATGAAGGTCCCTGAGTGGGGTGCAGGCGACAGGCCCCAGGCCTGGCTCGCTCACAAGGAGGGAAGCAGGGCAGCCCTGGGACAGGTTTTGGGCAGGTGTGTGTGTGTGTCTGTGTGTGTGATGGCTGGCTCACCTTCCCGTGCAGGCGCAGCCGCCCCGCCCCGCCCCTTGGCACCACCTTGAGGGCGAACACCGCACTGGTGGACATGTCTGTGAGCTTGTAGCAACGGCTGAAGGCTCCCTGCAGAGGACAGGAGACAAGATGCAGACAGTGGGCCACACCCAAGACACAGGCCTGCTACAGACTCAGCCAAGGCTCCGCAGCTGTCACACCCAGACATTCCACACCAGAGTCCCCTGCCAAAGAGATGAGATCCACAGACTTTGTCAAAGCAGGAGGCTCATGAGCTCTGTTGCACAGGACAGTGAGGGACCCATGACACCCAGAAACACAGCACACACACACACAGCACCTCCCCCACAGCATCCACACACACACACAGTGTCACACACAGCATCCATACACACAGCACCCCCCCACAGCATCCACACACACAGCATCCACACACACACGGCATACACACACACACACAGCATACATACCCAGTACTTCCACCTACAAACACAGCGCCCTCCTACCGCCTTGACACACATCCACAAACAACTTCCACATACACCTACAAACAGCATACCGCAACTTGGATCATCCACACACAGCACCCATATACAAACCACCTACACAACCCAGTCAGACACCCCCACAGCAGGTCCACACACAGCTACACGCACAGCACCCAGACTGACAACACCCAGACACACGCACACACAACACACACCCAGACAAACTATCTGGACACACAACACCCAGACTCAGAGCTCAACACCCTCCAGCGCCCTTGGCCACCAAGAGAGCAATCCCCAGTCGCAGCCAGGTAGACAAGTGGGTGCAGGGCACAGACCGCACGCGCTGCTCAGCACCCACCGCGGGGGGAAGTGACAGCCTCGCCATTGCATGTGTAGCACCAGTTGTGCACCCATGGGACACTCAGTGCCCGGCTAACGCGGGCGACGCGCACACGCCCCTCACACGCCCGCAGACAGCGCGCCAAGTGCGGTTCCCACCTCGCCATCTGCCCTGCAGCCCGGACCCCAAACTCAGGGAACCCGAGGCGCCAATCATTGCGCGTTCATTCCCGCCCAGCCCTCGACCCTTCCAGCTCTCCCTCTTCCCGCGTTTTGAACTCGGGTGTGTGTGAGCGCGCGCGGGAACCCCCACCTTGCCGATCAGTTTCCCGCGCCGGTACACACGCCCTGAGCCCGGGTCGCGCAGGAAGGAGGCCACCATCTGGCGGCTCCGCTGCCGCCGCTGTGAATGGGGCTCCATCTGCTGGGGTGGGCCTGGGCGCACAGCGGGCGCGGGGACTGCGCGACCCACTGCCGCCGGCAACACTGCTGCTCTGGGCCCGCGAGCCGCGGGAGCCGAGCGGGTCTTATTGGAGAGTGGGGGCGGGGCGGGGCGGGGCCCGGATGCCCATGGGATCCTGCCAGCGCCAGCAGGTGCTCTGGAGCAAACCCGGAGCCAGGCTCAGTTCTACCGCGCTCCCATCCCTGCGCCTCCTAGGACCTGTTGACAGCACTCGGTTCACCCATTGGGGAAACTGAGGCCCAGTGGACTCGGCTGGTTTATTTGCAGAGAAGACCGCCCCAGGAGTCTGTCTGGGGTGTATGGAAGACCTGAGGCTGGTGGACCAAGTGCATCTGGCTGGGTCCTCCCTACAAGAGAGAGCGCCGCGGCCTGTGGGACTTCATCAACTTGGGCACTGGGAAGCCACAGCAGGATTCAGAGGGAGGGCAACCTAGAGAGGTTTGGTGACATAGGGACCAAAGACAAAGAGCTGGAACAAGTGAAACACCGTGGGGTGGGGTGCCACGGAAGAATGGCAACCAGGATGAGGGGCAGAAGGTGGGCACTGGCTGTGATAGCCGAGTGAGAATTGACCTTTAAGATGGAGGTGGAGGCTTAGATGCGGCTGATAGAAGAGATAGCAAACTAGCCTGGAGACTCTTCAGAACCTCAGGCAACCCCTCACCCAAGCCAACCCTCCCGTCCAACACCCCTCTCGTGCTGCAAGCAGCCATTTCTGCACCACAAGGATGTGGGTCCCTGGGCACCGCTGGGAGTCCCCTCAGTCCCAAAGCCAGGCAGGCACAGCGCAGGCTGTGAGCCCTGCCATCTGCCTCTAGTATTAATCCCTGAACGTTACATAACACAATAAATGGGGAGGGATTAGCTTGACTCCCAGCGGCTGGATTCAGGTTATGGAATTTTCCAGAGGCAGGATTTAGAATCTAGTCTGGCTCCCTGGCTCGTGCCACCGAGGGGGACAAGAAACATCCCTTGAGTGCTCATATCTAACTGTCCCCCTGGGAGCATTCGGGCGTGTATCTTGTGGAAAGTGGCTCATACAAGTTACTGGTGTCTCCTTTGCAGCTGGGGTGAGGGTCCCTGGTCGTCAGCAGCAGCCAGAGAGCCCAGAAGCCCAGATAACAGGAAGCTGGTGCGGGTGGGGGTGGAGAGGGGGTGGCCAGGCACCCAGTTCCCTCTCTCTAGCCCACTCTCTTCCTGGGTCGGCTCAGTCCATCGTGGGCTGAACACCTACTGTATTTGCTGAGTATCTTGCGGTTGGTGGGGTACCTACTTTGTGCCCCAGGTAGCCCAGCCTAGCCCCTGTAAAATGATTCCATGTTTAAAAGCTATAAGGAGTTGGTTCAAGGTTCAAGCACATGGAGGAAGAAAAAAGGGTTGGGGGCAGGGCTTGTGATGGTTGCCTCAGAAGACTGCCAGCCAGAGTTCTATTCCTGGGACCACAGTGAAAGGTGTCCCGTGACCCCCACATACGTGCTGAGCCTGCTCATGTCCACACTCAGACAGACAGTAAAAATGACAAAATTTAAAACACAGTTTGGGGTGCAAGACAAGAGTTACCAGGTTTGTTTTCCTGCTGGGATCTGGTCCCTAAGTTGTGTGCTATTCATGCCCCAAGTGGCAGACAAGGAGGCTCCTGCAAGCTCAGGGTCTCCCAGCGTGGCTCTCAGGTGGGGCGGACCCCAAATATCTGACAGCTGTATTTTTGTCTCCTGGTTTCCAGCCCCAGGGAGCAGAGACACGCGCTTGGGTGAATGGCTGAGTCCACAGAATAACAGAAACTTCCTGGGGAAGAATGAACGGAGTAGCTGGCCTGGAGCCCTGGAGCGTGCTGATCTGCTGATGTCTCTCTCCCCGCTCCCCTGGCTGCTCCTGTGGTGTCTAGCTGAGTCTGCACCTGAGAGCTGGGTGGCCTCCTCCCAGCCTGTGCCCCTCTGAGGAAGGGTACCCCACCTCAGCCTGGTCCAAAACACTTTTGGTTCTCCTGAAAAGCCGCTGACAATGTTAGGAGATGGAGGAATTGTAGAATGGGTTTGGGGGTCTCCTTTGGGGGTGGTGGAAAATGTCTAAGTGAAATTATACCCCAGGATCACTATGCGGTGGTGAACAAAAGATGTGAACTTTGACACGGATGTGTGCCTCATGCTCATTACAAGGCTACGGGGGTTGTGGTTTCGGCTACTCAGGGGTTGAGGCAGGAGGATTGTGAGTTCCAAGCTACCTTTGATTACAGTGTGAATTCAAGAGGTAACCTGTGGGGGGCTGGAGAGATGGCTCAGAGGTTAAGAGCACTGGCTGCTCTTCCAGAGGTCCTGAGTTCAATTCCCAGCAACCACATGGTGGCTCACAACCATCTGTACTGAGATCTGGCGCCCTCTTCTGGCATGTGGGCATACATGGAGGCAGAATGTTGTATATATAATAAATAAATAAATCTAAAAAAAAAAGAGGTAACCTGTGATAACTAAGACCCTGACTCAAAAACTCAAAGAAGCCCACACCTTTAATCCCAGCACTCAGAAGGCAGAAGCAGGTGGATCTCTGAGTTCAAGGCCAACCTGGTCTACAGAGTGAGTTCCAGGACAGCCAGGACTACACAGAGAAACCCTGTCTCAAACAAAACAAAACAAAAATTAAAAACCAATAATAACAAAAAAACTCAAAGGAAAAAAAAAGATGGACAGAGACACACACATGTCCCAGCAGCCAGAAGGACACAGCAGTGTCCATGAAGACATGACGGACTCTTGGTGAGGCCCATTCCCACGCTGGAATACTGCGCAGCCAGGAACAGGACTGAGATGATGCCCACAGCACGGGGGGCTCTCGGGGACATGGTAGACCCAGATGCAATGTGGCACTCCAGGACAGGAAATGCCCAGAGAGAGGAAGTGGGTTTGAGGGTGCTGGAGAGTTTCTATTGCATGGCAACAAGAAAGTTCTGGATATGAATGGCAGGGACAATTGCACAGACCTGTGAATGAGCCATGCACTAAGAAAAAAAATGCCCGTGTAGTCCAGGGTGGCCTTGAACTCCCAGCCCTCCTGAGTTCTAACTGACAGACACGCACTACCACACCTGGTAAAAACTGGCCGCCTTTACATTAGGCATTGTCACTGAGCTCCCATAGCCCGCATCTTAGGCCTGACTGCCATGCGCCTGCAGCGCCCCAGGCCCAGTCCTGTTCCTTCCTGTCTCTGTGCTTTTGCTGACCTGAGACAACCCTTCGGACTCAGCAGATCTGTCTGGAGGAGTTTTGGGAAGCTTTGCTCAAAGCGCCTGCTGCAGGTGGAGGGGGTGGCTGCTGCCCGCCATTGCATCTCCCCAGAGACTCTCAGGGCTTGTGTGTGGGTCCCTGAGGTGGCCCAGGCCTCCCAACCGCATGACTGAGGATCAGTGCGCTGTTCCTATCTGGGTTCCACGTGGCTGCACCCGTGAGCTCACAGCCACTCACGAAAAGTCCCCAGAGACTTGGAGTCCCAAGCACGAGGAGGCAGGAGGGAAACGACTATCCTGAGCACCCCAAAAACCCCAGGATCTGGGCAAAGTGACCCAGCGTGAGCATGCGTTAGAGGGACACCCAATGCAATGACTGCCCAGGAAGGTGACTTTAGCAGTGGCGGTGGGGACGGGCTGGCATGAGCCACTCATGTCCCTCCCACATATCACTCTGAGCCCCTCATATGCAGAGCCTGAAGCAAGGGCTCTGGGCAGAGCCACTCAGCCCTCAGAGCCACCGAGTTTGGAACCCAACTGGGGACTGAAAATTGAGGAAACTGAAGAAAGGACCAGAAGGATGGCCTACTTCTGAACCCATCCCCTCCGGCCAGCGGCTCTGCCCTGGATGTCAACTGTTTCCTGTCCAGTTCAGAACTGCCAGGAAGGTCTCGACACTGAGGCACCCTCAGGGTTGGACCAAGTCAGCCCCATGTGTCCCCCACACACCTCTCCTATCCCAGGATTTTTGCACACACACCCAGCCTGTCCTACCCCGCCCGGGCCTTTGCACACACACATACATACACACACACACCTCTCCTACCCCAGGGTCTTTGCACACACACCCAGCCTGTCCTACCCCAGGGTCTTTGCACACACACCCAGCCTGTCCTACCCCGGGCCTTTGCACACACACACACACACACACACACACACACACACCTCTCCTACCCCAGGGTCTTTGCACACACACCCAGCCTGTCCTACCCCAGGGCCTTTGCACGTGCACACACACACACACACACACACCTCTCCTACCCCAGGATTTTTGCACACACACCCAGCCTGCCCTACCCGGGCCTTTGTACACACACTCAGCCTTTCCTGTCCCGAGCCTTTGCACACACACCCAGCCTGTCCTACCCTGGGCCTTTGACACACCGTTGGGTTTCCACAGAGCACTCATGTCTTTCCAGGACAGCCCAGAACCTACGGATAGATGCTGGACACACACTGTGCCCCACCCACACTGGAATAGCATACAGCCACAAACAGGAGTGAGGCTCCCCGGCACATGCTGGAGGATCAAGAACAAAATTCCCTGGGCTGGAGAGATGGCTCAGTGGTTAAGAGCACTGGCTGCTCTTCCAGAGGACCCGGGTTCAATTCCCAGCACCCACGTGGCAGCTCTGTTTGCTAGCCCAGATCCAGGATCTGACACCCCACACAGACATAAATGCAGAAAAAGACCAATGCATGTAAAAAAAATAAGATGAAAAAAAGAAAAATAAACGGGAAGCAGAGGCAGGCGGATCTCTGTGAGATCGAGACCAGCCTGGTCTACAGAGCTAGTTCCAGGACAGGCTCCAAAGCCACAGAGAAACCCTGTCTCAAAAAACCAAAAAAAAAAAAAAAAAAAAAAAAAAAAAAGAAAAATAAAGTAAAATTTGAAAAAAAAAACCCAATTCTCTATTCCTGAAATGTCTACTCAGACTTTTTCTTTGTTTTTAAATTTTATAGTTA